CCGTCACAGGCAGCTGCCACCCAGCACTCGGCCATTCAGTGCCAGAGGTCCTGGTCCAGCTCCTGGACATGGTGGCTGGGACCGAGGCATCCTGCCCACACAGCGTCCCGGTGTCACCTGCTGGGCACCTGCCCCTTTGCCATTGCAGGGTGGGAGGGGAGATGAGGCGTTAATCCCCGCATGGGAACATGGGCAAGAAACAACCTGAGAGGATGCTCAGGAGCTTGGCAGGCTGGGGGTTGCTCACAGTAGCAGCCTGGCTTGGCTTACCCACAACCAGCTCCCTCACTTCTTTCCAGCGGATGAGGCTGCCCGTTTCATGCACCAGGGTGACGGTGATTCTCCTCTGGATGCCCTGAGATCCGCGAGGCCAGAGGAGGGACAGTGGTTAACACAGCTCCTGTCAGGAGCCAGAGCCAGGACGGCATCTTGGGGAGGGAGTACCTGGTGGAGAAGGAAGGTCCCATGGCACGGCATGCCTCCACGGTGGTCCACGACGGCAGGGATGTAGCTGGAAGAGAGGATCATGGCGTGACATGGAGCCCTATCAGCCTGCCCAGAGGTGCCGAGCACCAGGCAAATCACCGTGCTGCCTCCCTCTACTTCCCTCTCCCCCTTCCAGAAGGACTTACTCGCCGTTGGCCTCCAGCTCACAGATCTCAAAGAAGACCATCAGGTCATACTTGCACTGGCATGGCCCGGCGCTGGGTCGAGTCATGGTGCTCAGCTTCGTCGCAGGCACTGTGGTGGGTCAGAAAGACAGCTTAAAGGGTGAGCTTGCTGCTGGCGTTTGGAGTGAGGCGCGTGGCGGCAGGCAGGGCAAGGGCAGAGCAGGCGGGGACCGCAGGGTGACACAGCAAGGTGGCAGCCAGGCAGGAGAGAGCACATAGAGGGGGACAGCCCCATCCTGGGCAGCTCGCTGACCACCAGCGTGCCTTCTCCCACGCCCAACACAGAGCAGCCAGGGTCTCCAGATGTGGCCGGCCTCACCTGTCCCTGAGATGCACACCCTGAGCCTGCAGCCCCAGGCACGGACACATCCCAAACCACACAGCACCACTCCAGCGACCACTCGGGGCAGCTGCTTGGGGACAGCTTGGTGAAGGGGACCCTGCACCCAGCACGGGGACCACGGGAGGGCAGAGGAGCAGGACCCACCTACCCCCCTCCTGCCACCTGCCCCCCCACTTTTCTCTGTGTCCCCAACAAGTCAGCTGCACTGGGTGCCCCTGTGGCACCCAGGGGCCGGGGGTGGCCCAGGGTGTGCCCACCTCAGGACATCCTTGCAGAGGGGTGGGAAAGGGTGCTGCTGGTAGTGCCCAAAGACTTCAAATACAATCGGCTGGCTCTTGATATATTCAATGAAGGACTTGGTCACCTCCACCGCAATCTGGGAAAGAGACGTCAATGGCGCAGTTTAGCTGGGAAAGGGATACAGCCAGCAACAGCACCCAGGAGGTGGGAGGGTGCAAGCCTGTTTGATCCCCTGCATCCCTCACCCATTCCCTTCCCCGTGGTCTGGAGATGCTCTCACTACAAAGACCACTGCTATGAAATCCCAGCCATTTTGGGTGGAGGGCAGTGGCTTTTGGCCTTTCCCTCACACATCCACCTTGTTTAAGGTTGGCTTAGCTGGGCAGCTGTGACAGGCTGAGGAAGCCAGGAGGAAGATGCTCCCCTGGGAAGTACCAGCCAATGGCCCCGGGGAGACCACGGCAGCCATGGGCGTAAGGGGCTGTGGGCAGGAAAGGGGTACGCACATTTTGGACGTGATAGAAGCCCAGTGGTGGACCCCGTCCCGTGTTCTTCAAGGGCTCTGTCGAAAAGGCCTCATCGTGGCGATGGATGAAGCTGCAGAGGGAAGGAAGGTGGCTCGGAGGCTATGGGACAGGGACATGCCGGAGAAGGGAGGGGAGAGAGGGCAGGGACCAAGAGAAGAGCCCGCTTCCCCCAGGGCTGATGCCCACCCCCTGGGCGCCAGGTGTCAGGACACCCCTGACACTGATGGGAGCCTCTCCCTGCCTTTCGCCAGTGACCAAACAAGGTACCAGACAAGGACATGGGCTCATCCCGCAGCCCTTGGTTTTGCCTCCCCATCCATGAAGGGCTCAGAGTTCGGGAGGCTGGGTCTCCCCGATGTTCACCACCAGCCCTGAGGCAATGGCCGGAGCACAGTGGGAGCTGCGGAGCCAAGGGGCACCGGGGGCTTACTTGAACTGGCAGAAGATGTCTGCATATTCTGCAGAGATGCTGGAGGCTTGCAGAACCGTTACGCGGAACGTGAAGATACTGCCCAGCTTCAGGTGGTCCAGAGCCGTCTCCAGTGGCCCATCTGGTGCAGGCTTCTCCGGGCTGTCCAGGAGAAGGTCCTCTGGGGTCACTGCAGGGAGGGGAGAGTCCTCAGCAATTACTTGAACTGGCAGAAGATGTCTGCATATTCTGCAGAGATGCTGGAGGCTTGCAGAACCGTTACGCGGAACGTGAAGATACTGCCCAGCTTCAGGTGGTCCAGAGCCGTCTCCAGTGGCCCATCTGGTGCAGGCTTCTCCGGGCTGTCCAGGAGAAGGTCCTCTGGGGTCACTGCAGGGAGGGGAGAGTCCTCAGCAAGGCAGGGGGGTGTGGGGGGTCACCCCCCTCCATGTCCGCCAGCAGTCCTGCAGCAGGGCAGCGGGCTTTCGATGCTTGGGCGGGCGCAGGAGGTTGGGTGTCAGGAGCAGGGGGCTGCTCCCCAGCCACTTGTCAGCACCCCCTCACCTGCACAGGTGTTGTTGTTGACTTCGTCAGCGGAGGGACCCACATCGCTGACCTGCCCCTGGCCTTCAACGATGCGCAGCTCCTCCTGGGAGGTCCCAGAGCGAGACATCCCCACAGCTGGGCACGATTCTGACTGGAACTGTGACAGGAGTGGGGCTCAGGGATGCTGGTGGGTCCCCAAGGTGGTCCTGCTTTCACTGCCACCACCACCCGAGCACCTGGACACATCCAGCTCTCCCCTCCCACCCCACAGCAGCCCCCTGCCAGGACACGGTTAAGAGCAGGGTGCACCAGTGGGTAATGGAGGGCTGGGGGCTGCTGGGGGGACTGGGAGCACAGTCCCTTCAGCTTGATGCCTGCACCTCTGGGAGCCCGGTGGTGCCCGTGGGGGAGCATTGCCATGGCAGGCAGGGGTCTGCGGTCCCCAGGCACCCACCAAGAGCTTGCCACTGCCGTACAGCCCGGTGGGTCCCGTGGGGGAGCATTGCCATGGCAGCCAGGGGTCTGCGGTCCCCAGGCCCCCACCAAGAGCTTGCCACTGCCGTCCCTTCTCAAAGTGCTGGTCATCGAAGGAGATCTTGGCCATCCCCGACTGCCGCACGCCGGAGCCATAGTCGGGGGCTTCCTCATCCGCTAGAGGAGAGATGGGGGTGAGCCGGAGCGGCAGGGGCCGGGCGCGCAAA